CTGTGGATCCGTCTGCCTTTCTTTCGAGACAATGATCTCATGAAGGCGAGGATGTCTTGTTCGCTGGAACTCCTACCACCCTCGCTCTGTTAGATCCCCCGTGCAGAGTCAATCCTCGACAAACGTGAGGAGGATGTGAGTGCCTTTCCACCTTGCATGAGCAATTTGGCCACCTCCCACACCACACTTCTGTTCCAAGACGCCCGAGCCACAGATATCTTATGTATTTATGAGGATGTCACAATTCTTTTGGCTCAAACGTCCCCCAAACGCAGGAAAATGGAACTGCCAGGTTTCTCTGTTAAGTTGGCTCGAATACATCCCAGCCACAAAGTAACAGAAAAGGGTGTTGTTAACAGAAAAAGGAATCTGTGAATATGTATTTTTAAAATGGGAAAATGACAATAACTTAAAGCGTGGTAACATTACACAGTCTCCAAGGCTCAGATGTAATTAGCCCCCGGTGGCGTTTACTTTTGCACTAGGATCGAGGCCACTCTCGGGGGACTTTTATGGTGGCCTCTATCCCCACCCTGACCCCACACAGCTCGGGGATTAGATATCACATCAGTGGCTCTCTCCTGTCAGTTCCGTTCATTTATTCACCGATTTGTCCATTCGGCAAACATTTATTTCAGTCTGTTAGCTGGCTGACACGTGGGAGGAGGCAATGTAGTCGATTCACGGCAGAACAAGAGGAAGAGATGAGAATTCTCTTAAACACGGACCATGTGTGTGTCTTCCGTTGAGGAGTTTGGGAAGCGCAGAATTGAGGTCCGGTATGTTCTGCCTGCCAGCCCGTTCCTCTGGGGACCGGCAAAGACTGAGGGTGTGACCCCATGCCCCGTGTTGAGAGGCTGGCCCTGGACCGTGTCAGCTCAACCCAGGGCCAGAGACAGTTCAAGGGCAGTGAGTGCAGAGGCCCTGGGGGCCAGGAGCAAAAGCACCACCGACCGAGGTAGGACAAGTCCTCTGGCCCGGGAGAAGTCCCAGTGGGGACTCCGTATGGCTGGGGTGGCCCGAATCCGTTGCAAACCTCTCTACTGCCCGCTCCGTCTCTGAGTGACGGGTTTCTCCAGGAGGCTGACAGAGCGGGAGCTCAAAAAGAATCTGCTGAAGAGAAACGCAAGGGAATCGAGATGTGGCTGACAAATAGCACATGAGACCCAACATGCAAAGGCAGCGTCTGACTTTGGGGAAAATAGAGGGAGAAAAACACATCAAGAAGGTAACGGACATTAGAATACAGAGTGCGACTTAGAAATCACAGAAGACTCTGTGGCCACATACTCTGTATGCCTAGGGAAGAATCTAGACCATGTTAGTGGGGGCCACAAAAGGTTTTCTGGGGAATAACAGAGGCTTTATTCACAGAATGATGCTGCAGTTGTACAGGACTTTAAATTGACTACATGGGCTTACGTCAGTGGTGTCTCTTCATCCCCACTGAGGCCCTGGCAGGGACACAGGAAGGCGTCACCCTGAGCTACCCCACGCGAGGCCAAATGCAGCTTCTGCAACGCTGGTCCACGGGTCACCCGCGTCAGACTCACACGGGGAGCACTTGGTTAAAAATTGGGTCCCTGATCTTTGTCAGAATCGCTGTGGTAGAACTCAGCACTTGGCATTTTTAACAAATTCTTCAGGTGACAAGTGCCCTCAAGTTTGAGAAGCAGTGGCTCCAGAGGTTAAGGGACTTCACACGTACACACGCACACACATGCACACACGCAGCCAGCGTCAGAACCCAGCTCCTCTGGTCCAGCGGCTTTCCCTCTCCGCCCCTCTGTCTCCCACTAAGTCCCGGGGCCCATCGTCACCCATCCCATGCTGGCGTTTCTGGGATGCTCACCACCACTCAAATCCTGTCTTTCTCTTTAGGGAGCAGAATGCAGACGATTTGGGGGAAGGCATATGAGTACAAGCTGCGTATCTCTTAAAAGCAACCCACTGTTCGTTCGGAGCAGCCCTGCGGTCTTGGTCATTTGGTGTCTTAGAACCTGACCCTCCGTGCATCTTTTACCCCAAAGCAAAAGGGGCTGGTAGAACACAGAAGGGAAGCTGTATGCCGGTAGGTGAAACTCTTGTCTCATTTAGCAAACCTGCACATTCCATGTTCTCAGTCTCCACGTGCAGGAGGGTACCTTCGTCCAAGCTTCAACAGCCCTTGTGTCCTGATGGGGGGCGTGGGAAGGCGCAGCCCAGTCCTCTCCTCCTCCCCTCGACGCCCCGGCTCCTTGGTGGGAGAACACATTCCACACGGTTCCTTGTGCCGCAAGTTTACCAGCGTCCGCCCGGGGCATGGACCCGGTGGGCCAGCTGCCCCATTGGGGGTCAGGCGTAAGGAAGCCCACTCTCCCACAGACAGAAGCCACATTCTCCAGGAGTGGCTTTGTCTATAATAAAGGTGGTGTCCTGATGTGCCATCAGCCTGATTCTCTCTGTCTGAATTGAATTACCTGTATTTAATTGAATTTCTGATCCTTTCCACTGAAAATTTTGCAGAGCTAAGAGGAAACACAAGTTTGCCTCCCTGGGCTATTTGCAAGAACCCTAAACGTGTATCTGCTTTAACGGAGATAGTTGAACAAGGAATTTAGCTGGGCAAGACTTATGCCCCTACACTGTGAGCTGTTACCAAGGCCGCAGAATTGTGGCAGCACCGAGCCCCCTTCCTGTGTGCAGAACACACACAGCAGCAACCCTTGTAAAAATATATATATAACTTATATATATACAAGTGCGAGGATTCAGGCCAAGATGACAACCACGGTTTGGACCACTGTCGTAGAGTGTGGCTTATGTGGTGGTCTGAGAACAGTCTTCATGGCCGGTCCTCCCTCTTCCCTTTCTGTCTGTGCCTTCTTTTACTGGGAATCAAACTAAAAAGTGACGTGGTCTCCCAATTTTGCTGCCACACTCAGGACGTTTGAGTACTAATAAGATCGTAATACGTGAAGAATGGCGAATGGCTGAGTCAGTCACGCCCTCATAATTGAGGCAAGTGCTCTAGTCTAAAATACTTTTTTTTCCCAACGTTTTTTATTTACTTTTGGGACAGAGAGAGACAGAGCATGAACGGGGGAGGGGCAGAGAGAGAGGGAGACACAGAATCGGAAACAGGCTCCAGGCTCCGAGCCATCAGCCCAGAGCCTGACGCGGGGCTCAAACTCACGGACCGCGAGATCGTGACCCGGCTGAAGTCGGACGCTTAACCGACTGCGCCACCCAGGCGCCCCGCAAGTGCTCTATTCTAATTTCCGAGCCCCGGATATCCTTATACTGCTCTGGGCTTCTGTCACTCTTGGCCTGAAGCCCCCCTGAGAGGGAAGAGGCTTCAGAAATAGGCTGGGTGTGAGTGACCTGATTCTCAAAGGCCGCCGGCCCCCTCTTCAGTCTGGAAACTTCTAGAGGCTCCTGGATGTCCAAATGCCCGGGAAAGTCATCGATTTAGATACACGACTGACTGAGTTTATACGTGTGCATGTGGCAGATATAATGTGGGATGGGCATATATTCTAGTTGGAGGATTACAGTAGTACATAAAGTATTAGTAATAATAGAGGGGGTCAGAGCCTGATCAGCAAGCACTGAGAGTCAGAGGAAAATTAGGACAATAAATATTTGAGGGGATTGGGGATTTGGGGGGAAAGATCCCATCAAGCTGGAGGGGTCAGAGAAAGATTTTAAGAACGGGCCTTGCAGAGTGGATAAAATGAAGATTTGCATGTAGGAAAAGGAAGGGCTGTGCTGCCCGGGGGGACGAAGACCCCTGCCGTCCGCCTCCCTGTTGTCAACACCGGCCTGGTAGGTGTCTTCCAACCTTTCCAAAGTGTGGGGCACCAGCTCCGTGCAGAGTTCTTTGGTTTTAGGTCGTGAAGGGCCACAATCCGCTGCTGTGATAAACTGGGCTGGGTGGGATGGAACCTCTCCCCTCGGCGTGTCCAGGGAGGCCTTGCCGTGTGGCTGGATGCTGTGTGTGTCTCTGTCTATGTGTGTGTCTGTTTGGGGGGGTGTGTGTGTGAGTCTGTGCCTGCACCCTGCAGCCCTCCCTCCCGTGCCTTGAGGAGCTGGCCCTGGGGCCCTGCGGTCCCCCTCTAAGGCTGCCCAGCTCTCCCGCCCTATGTTATTATCTGTTGGGTTGAGAGTTCCATGGCCCCTTTTTTCTTGATTCTCTTCCTCAACCCGGGGACTGTCATCCCCTTACTGACCTCTCTCTTCTCATTTATTACCTGGGAAAGTGTCCTTTTCTCTCCTTACTTTATATGCTCCTTCTGAGCGGTCTGACCTACTTCAAACACTTACGACTGTCACCGTATACCCCGGCAACTCCAAAATCAATACCTCAAGCTTTATTTTTATTCTAAATTGAGCTGCAGTCACATTCCCGTATTTCCTTTTCCTGAGGGACGTCGTTAGGTGTTTCAAATCGAACATGTTAAAAATGGAGCTCATTTCCTTCTTCCTAAAAACACCCCTCGTCTCCTTCGCCCTTCACCTTCCTTATTCAACTTGTTCCGAGCTGTGTCAAGTGTATCTCAGATTTGTTCCCCAAACTGACCCGACTTCTTACCCTGTGTCATTACCAGACCACCTCTCAGCAGCTCAGAAGCCGTGAACTCAATTGGCTGCCTCCAGAATCTCTCCTCTTGGGTTCATTTGAACATTGATGTTCCTAAAAATACATTCTGGCTTCTCACTGAAAACTTAGACCCTTCCATATCGCCTTCCTCCTGTCCCCATCCCATATCTTATGCTCTTTTATATCTCACTTCTCACCATTCTATACACTATGAACCAGCTCATGCCTCTGTATGTGCTGTTCCGGTATCTGGAATGCCTTTCCTGTTATTTCTCTTCTGATGAGCTCCTATTCATCCTTCAACACCTGTGGGATTTTGTTTTGTTTTAATTTTTAAATGTGTATTTCTTTTTGAGAGAGACACAGAGCACGAGTGGGGGAGGGACAGAGAGAGAGGGAGACACAGGATCCGAAGCAGGATCCCAATGCGGGGCTCAAACTCCCCAACTGCAAGGTCACGACCTGAGCCGAAGTCGGACGCTCAACCGACTGAGCCACCCGGGCACCCCGACACCTGTGTTTCGATCAGAGCCCCTACCATGAAGATGAAACAGTCATCGCTCGAACTCCAGGAAGGCAGAGAGCTCGGCAGCCCCCCATCACGGTGTGGAACCATCCAGCTAAGGCTCTCTGGCCCTGCTGCTCTCGCTGCCCCTTCATTTTCTTGCCCGCCCTCTCCCAACCGTCACCTCCATGTCTTCAGCTCATGGAACGGAGAAGAGGAGACCTAGGACCCAGGGAGCACACGTCCCCTTCCCCCTCCTGCTCGTCTTCTTGATATTCTCTGAGGGATCTTCCCCGAGATGATATTCTTGGTTTGCACCGGGTGTTGTGACGACGATGCATTCAGATGGCCGGGACCTCCGGGGGCCTCCCTCTCGCCAGCCCCCTTCCAATCACGTCCTCCGAATGTTAGCTTGATGGTGACGATGCCCAGTTCAAGGGACTGTCTCCTTCATCTGCCAGGAATGCTGGGACCAAGGCTTGGAGAGACATAGGGCATGGCAGAGTGGAGTGCCGTTGGAGGACTCTGGTCCCCCCCACAGGTGCCCTGGAAGGACTTGGTGAGTGGGGCAGGCTCTTGCCTTTGGGCTCAGAACAAGAGTGTGGGCTGGCCAAGCTTCCTCAGTCTCCTTGCTGCACTGAGAGGCGGTCTGTGTTGGCTTCCAGCTGATGGTGGACAAGTTTATCAATCTCTGTATTCCCAAGGCCCGTGTTCAATGAATGAGTGTTCACGGAATGAAAGTCTGGGTGAATTTATTAGAAGAGCTTCAGGGATTTTCCTTGGTTTTACTTTTTGAATAAGGTAAGAAAGGGGCAGATTCTCTGAGCAACCCATTGCCCAAGGGCTGTTACCGGCGCAGGGTGCGGGAGCATGGGACCCTGAGTTCCAGCCCCCATACACGGCGTTCCTCTGTCTTCTCTGACCCTTCGACCGGGGGGAAGGGATCCAGCAGGCTTGCGGTCTTCAGCAGTGTTAAATAACTAACAAAAACCCAACTGGGGGCGTTTTAAAGATCTAATTGTCTTTATTAATGAATTCGAGAATCAGGCAGCATCCCACCTGGCAAGGAGAGGAGAACTCAGAGGAATTGTAAAATCTGGAGGGTTTTTAGAAGGAGGGTGTGCTGGGGCGCCTGGGTGGCGCAGTCGGTTAAGCGTCCGACTTCAGCCAGGTCACGATCTCGCGGTCCGTGAGTTCGAGCCCCGCGTCGGGCTTTGGGCTGACGGCTCAGAGCCTGGAGCCTGTTTCCGATTCTGTGTCTCCCTCTCTCTCTGCCCCTCCCCCGTTCATGCTCTGTCTCTCTCTGTCCAAAAATAAATAAAACGTTGAAAAAAAAAAAATTTAGAAGGAGGGTGTGGCAAGAAAGTGATTAGCAAAAGAAAGGGATTGTTCCAGGCCAAGCCCCTTTCCCTTAGGGGGAAAGGTGGGGTTTTACCAAGTCAGTCACCTCACCTTCCTTCACGGGATGAGGAAGGCCCCAGAACCAGGCTCCCCAGCCTCGACTAAACAATTCCCTAAACAATTCCCGACGGAGGGGTTAAAAGCGCATCTCTGCGGGAGGTAAAAACTGCATCAGCTGAGCTGGTAAGCCCTAGTTTGGGATCTTGGTCTCAGTAACACCCATTTTCGAAAAAGAAAAGCCTGTGGATTTCTTTTTAACAGCAGCATGCCACGATCAGGGCAGACTTCCGCATCTCAGAGAGGAGACGTCAGTGTTAGATGTGGCCCAAAGGACAAAGCTAACGTTACTGATGTGGGAACAGAGGCAAAAAGAAATATAGATAGAATTAAATTTCCTTATAACCCACAGCCCACTGACAAATACTCGAGGCGGGCAGAGTATGACCTTCCCCCGGGAACTCCCAACTGTCTGAAAGTCAATGCTTTGCTGGAGGGAAAAACAACCTTAGCCTGACAATAGCTAGGCCTCCAGGATCCTGTGAGTCTTTAGCATATGAAAGTCCGTTTGGAAACTTCGCGTCTTCACTTCCCCCAGTTCCCAAGTATATCATCAGTCACCCCTCACAATCCCAGTACAGCACTTTCTGCCCAAGGGTCCTGTCCCCATGCTTTAATAAAACTACCTTTTTGCACGGAAGGCATCTCAAGAGTAGGCTGCAAACCCTAACATTTCCACATCATTACCACTTCTGCCCGGAAGGCAGGAATTGAGTGACCCTTTTGAGCCTCTGCTCTCCCCCCTGTAAAACAGAACCACAACTCCTTCAGAATTACAGAATGCGGGAGCCAGGGGGGAGACCTGGATCCAGTCCCCAGGGACCATGGCTGTAACTTCTGCCCAGTAACAGTTGTGGTGTGCTGTATTTACGTCTGTCTGTCCCACCATAACCAACTCTTCTCTGTCTTTGAAACCTCAGTGCCTTATACCCAGGAAGGCCTCAGGTAAATGTCTGTTGAGTAAATAATGAATACAAGAAGAGAGAGAAAGGAATCGGTGAAGTACAATACAGCCTTCCACAGGACCTGTGAGGTACTTTGTTGCGTTTTGCTGATGGGTTTTTCAAATCCTACTCATGCGTTGAATTATTGGTGCCAAAACTCCAAGTATTTAGAAATTATTTGTGAAAGGTGGAAATTGTGAGAAGTGAGAGGATTCATTTTCAAATACCAAATAAAAGCTGTGCTGTCTAGTTAACCTATTTACAATGGATTTACAACCTATTACAACCTTACAACCTATGCATCAACCAGAGTCCCAAACGCTTAGACACTTCACTTCCTGGTTCTAATCCCTGCCCCTTCATTTCGCGGGCTTAGTTTTCGCGGGCTTTGCAATGAGCATGCGCCAAAGAACTGAAGTGTCTGCCACACCTCAAGGAATGTACATTTGTTCCAATCAGACTACTTTTTGCCTTACATGGGCACAGGTGACTTCCGGGTAAGGCTGTAACCCCTGTAGTGCTCAGCCAATGAGGAACCAGGGGAGGGATTTACCTGTGTAGTGCTCAGCCAATGAGGAATCAGGGGAGGGATTTGCCTCTGTAGGGCTCAGCCAATGAGGCTGAGCATACTAGGGGGAGGGACTTGCATACTAGGAGATAAATTGTCTGCTGCAAGTGCCCCGAGGGGGCCTGTTCATCAGACACCTGGTCTCGCAAGAGCGTTGGGGCCTGTTCATCAGACACCCGGTCTCGCAAGAGCGTTGATTAAAGCCTTGCTTCACTGTGCTCTGAGTCTCCGTGTCCCTCCTTTGATTGGGGTAGTGGGCTTATTTCTCACAAAATCAAGCCTGTGGATTTTATTCCTTGACCTAGAGAAGGAGGTGCCTTCAGAAGGTCCTGGGGGTGGATGAATGTCTCCATCGCACAGGGAGGGGGGGTGGTTCTGACAGGAGAACCTGCCCCAAATAGGGGAACGCGTGGGAAACAGAGGGAGAGGATGATTGAGGCCTGAGCCCGTCTGGAGCAAGCTCTCGGGTGTCAGAGTTTGGCCCGGGAAACAGAGAACCCTTCCTGGGAACCGGAACTGCTGCTGGGGAAGCATGTGCCCAAGCTGTTGGCAACACCTGGTCTAGAAGTTGCGGCTCATCATGGCACAGACCCACCCGCAGGCCACTTGCTGCTCTTGAGCCAGGCTCACCCCCACTGCAGTGCTGGGGACCCCGAACTGTGGGAGTCAGTGCAGACACCCCCTTCCCTGGGTCTGGGATTCACTTGGAGGACTGCCTTTTAAACTTCCTTTTTTTCTTTTTTCTTTCTTTTTTTATTTTTTTAGTGCATTTATTTAAATATTTTGAGAGAGACAGAGCGGGGAGGGGCAGAGAGAGGAAGAGAGAGAGTCCCAAGCAGGCCCTGTGCTACCAGGGCAGAGCCTGGTTAGGGGCTTGAGCTCACAAACAGTGAGATTATAACCTGGGCCGAAACCAAGAATTGGATGCTCAACCAACTGAGCCACTGAGGCACCCCTGCTTTGTATTCTTCTTAAAAGTGCTTTTTCAAACTCTGCCTAGAGAATTGGCCCGGGAAACAGGATGCACAGATTTGAAAAAAAAAAAAATGCTAACTCAGAAGTGAGGAGAAGCCACTGTGGAATTTACCACATCACCTTTGGCTAATAAATAAAAATAAGGTTCTTACCGAGTGAAATAAGAGGCCACAGGAGCACCTAGAACTTCATGACCTTGCAGAAAGACGAAGCTTTCTGCAGACGTTCTGACAAAGCGCTTCCTTCTTTGACATCTCCACAAAACACAAGATTATCTGCAAAGCTGATCTGATGGGAATCAGTGTTTCCAATATTAACAGCTCAAACACCGACGTCAAGTAGGGGCTTGGGAGTTCCTAATTGCTAAACCACATCACATAAGAAGGTAACAATTAAAAGAAAAATCCCAGCATGGTAAAACGTGAAGGAACATTAGCCAGAAATCAGGTCCAACCCCTGTATTTTCAGATGAAGAAGCAGAGGCATGGAAAGTTCCCATAGCCTTGATTGGCAGAATGGAGATTAGAATCCCCAATAATCCCTAATTTGGGCCTCTTTCTGCTATAGTAATGCGTCCCTGAATAACTTGCATAGCAAAATATCTATTTTGTGATTTCTAAATATATATCTAGACATTCCCATTATCCTGTGGCCTTCTTAGTTTGGCATACAAGTTGCACCTAATAAATGTTGCTGAAATGAGATCATCAGCATTTATAGGAACAGAGTCTTTCCTGAAAGGGATTAACCCAGACCTAGAACTTGTTTTGGGTTTGGGGGACTTCCTCTGGCGCATTTAATCAAGAATGGAAAACTTGCCTGAGAAGTAATTGAGACCAAGAAGCGCCATCAGGTGGTTTAAGGACAAATGCCCCCTGGGGTGCGGGGGGCCGTGCACAGCCTTGCTTTGGAGATGGCAGGAAGTGGGGTGAGCTTCGTGCCGCTGCTACACTGATCAAGGAGAACGAGCAGCTCCCAGAAATCCGCTCCACAGTGCGTGGGGAGGTGGAGGCAAAGCGGGGCCGCGGGCTGACAGCTCCTCCATGACCGAGAACGCAGGCGACGATGGAGACGATGACGGGTTTTGCTGAAACTCCCTCATCACATTGATGCTGTGTTTTCAGTGATTTCGGAGCCTTGAACACCTCAGGACCCGGGACTGAGGCTCCGTGGGGGCCGCCCCAACACAAGGCAGCAAAACCGCGTCAGGCTATGGAGGCACTCAGGAGAGCGTGCCCCTCCCGAGCTGTGTGAAGCTGTAGTGACGCCCCAGTTAAGGCCGGAACTCCCACTCCCTGCCTTTTCACGCCGTGCCCCTCTTCTCCCCCTTCATGGCTCAGAAGGAAGGATTTGGCCCCGAGTTTTGCCTCAGGACAGCCTTCCCATGGCTTATCCGATGTGGACCAACGGTGTTTGGAGGAAATGACCTTTTCTACTTAACCAAATCACGGTGCCTCTTTTATCTCACGCCCCGCCGATGTAATTCCCCTTCCTACAGATTGTTCCCGGATCCCATCTCTAGTCTGACCATCCACTCTTGACCCAAGCCCCACCCCTCGCATCTGAAGGTCTGCCGACCAATGACACTCATGTCTCCCTGTCACTTCACATCATTCCGTCTCAAAGTGCACATGTCACCTTGCCCCTCACACTAGCCCTGCTGACTTCTCTATTTCCATTACGGGCCCCCTGCCCATCTCCTCGTCATCTGGGTCTGTGAGTATAGATCATTTTTATTCCATCCTTTCTCTGTTTCGTGTTTGTGCACTGTAAAGCTTTCTTTCCTTTGTCTTTTCGCATCTGCATTTTCCTTTCTAGAAACAAAATCGCCTGGAGAATTCAGGCTCGTGCATTCAGAATTAGTTCACATTCGGCAATTAACGGCGTCAGCCAGTCAATGTTTGCTGGGAGAAAGGACGTGAGAAAGCATCGAGTCTGCAAGCCTTCGTGACACGTGAGTCGCTGGAGAGGCGGGAGCAATGTCTGAATCATCCCCAGCACCCACTTGAGTAGCTGGCACAGTTAACTGAATGCTGGCTACAAGGAAGATGCAGACAGACATTTACTTGGTCCAGTCTCCGTTCTGGCTGATCCAGCTTATTAAACTTCCACAAATAATTTGTATTACTAGGTTTCTCCCTTCTTCAAAGATTGCAGTTTCCCGTTAAAAACTTCTTTTGTGTGTCATTCAAGGACTCCTGCATTCGGCTTCAAGGCAGAGGAGAGAGAGGAGTGTCTGTGTGCGTGTGCGTGCGTGTGTGCATTTGTGTGTTTGTATGTGCGCATTTGGTGTGTTTGTATGTGTCATGCGTATGTATATTTGCGTGTGTTTCTGTGTGTGTGTTGGCATGTGCATTTGTGTGTTTTGTGTTTGCATTTGTGTGTGTGTTTCTGTAGTTGGGGGATAGAGAAAGGGTGAGACGAGGCTGTATGAGGAGGTGCAGTGAGGATAAAAAATAAACCACCAATCCCACACACGTCTCTCCTTGGAACGCAGGTCACTGAGTTTCTGAACCTTGAGGACGGTGCCTGGATTGACCGACAAGCACTTCCTCTCCTTATTTCCACGGCAAGTCCTTTCTTGAGCAGCCTCCTATGATGGGATGTTTACCCAGTATTTACATTTGGTGGAGGATCCGCGGTTGGTGACAGCTGAGGCTTTACAAGGTGAGCTGGTGACTGCGAGCGGGGCCTCTGAGGACGTCTCCTGCCTTGCCACTGAGTTACGACAGGCCGAACGGGAGGACGCGGTCAGAGCCGGCCACTGGAGCAGACCACAGTGTGCCCTCCCCAGTGAGCTCCCCTGAAGTGGCCTGGAACCTGTACAGAGGGGGGAGGGAAGTACCACCGATGGTGAGCGTGCCCATGACCTTGACCACAGAACCGCATCAGGCAAGCTGACATCCTGAGAGCCGCTCTCCGAACCTGCACCTGGCCCACTCACTGGGGCCAGGCTGGCAGCCAGCATCCGGGAGTCGAGGAAAGGGGACAGTGGTGGCTTCAGAGGCTAGACGCAGAGAGAGAAGCAGAGTCAGGTGGGAGGGCTGAGGCAGGATTTCACGGACTCTGATCCTGTTTCAGAGTAAAACGGCCAAAGGGAAGGAGAAGCCTGGATAGCGTGTTTACATCAGGAGAGGCTCTTTCCATTAGCTATTGTGCAAGACAGCAGGAATGGTGCCTTCCACTCCACGATTGATTCCTCGTGATTTTCCTTTCATATATCAGAAAGCCAGGCTTTCTCCGCTGCAAACACACCGGGAGCAACCAAAGTAGCAACACCGGCTTTTTCGAGAAGTGAGGTTAATTATTCGGAGGCCATCTGAGTTTTAAAACCATCTGGTCAACATTGCAGAGACAGGAGTCTCCAGTAGATGGCAGCACTAAGACAGGAGCGCCACATAGTCTCAGACTCCAGAACATTCACGTCGTGCGTGAGCAGCCGCACTCCTCGTGTTGGAACCTGTGTTATGACTCATTACCAATGAAAATATTCACTAAATGTGCTATAGTCATAACAGGATGAGTCACTCATTCAATCTTATTCACTCGTAAAATAAGAGAAATAAGAAAGTCCACTTTTCCTGCAACCTCTAATCCGAGGGCTGTGTGTTTGTGTCCCAATTTCCAGAAAATAAACGTGGTGAATACTGTTGAAATTCATTGCTTCAACCAGGAACACCATCTTTTGCTTGGACACTTGCTTTTGCTATAAGATCTGAAAAACTGAAATTTTGGATTTCTCCTATGTAATACAGACTTTTGGTAAAAGGGACGTGCAGTATTTTGGGTGTCTCAGAAAGTAAACTGGTCTTTTTTTCTGGACAACAGAAGATTGAACTTAGTTGCTTTAGTGACAGGTTAAGAGTTAAGTATATTCCTAGAAAGGCATATGCTCTTTTTGTTAAAATAAGTAGGCTGAAGTATAAACCTAATTTTTATTCCAAAAGAAATGCAGAGCTTCCAAAATAAGTGTCTGTATATGCATGTACTTTGTAAGCGTATATATTTATAGCTTAGCATATTTTTCTTATTTAAGAGTTATATATCTGCCATGAATCTCTGGTATATAGAAATAGATCACAATTCACATCGTAGGAAAAGTTCTTTAAAGTATAATTTCATTTTATACTAAGACTGTAGATGGATGTTGCCTTAGAGGTCTGTCCTTGGGCCAAGTGGTATTTTTTTTTAAGTTTATTTATTTGAGGGGGGAGAGGGGCAGAGAGAGACAAAGAAGGAGGCAGATAGAATCCCAAGCAGACTCCACACCCTCAGCACAGAGACTGCCACAGGGCTTGAACCCACGAACCGTGAGATCATTACCTGAGCCAAAACCAAGAGTTGGACGCTTAACTGACTGAGCCACCCAAGTGCCCCAAGCCAAGTGTTATTCTTAAAAGCAAGCCAGCCTATGGCTAGCTGTGTGTAGCTGGCAAATCCCAGAGCTAACTGTGAAGCACAGGGCACCTTACCTTAGTAGATTGCCCCGAGTGGTGGAAATTGCATTTGGGATAAAAGACAGTTCATCTGAATGTACCTGAAATTCCTTAGAGGGCCATGGTGGAGACAGATAGTCGTTCTCTGAAAATGGAATATGCTGACTCTTGCTGTCCACAGTCCTGTGTGCACTCTGTGATATTTTGTTATCATACATCTAAGAAAAATCATTTTTACAATTGTTTCAACTCTATCGCAGAGGACCTGAATCCCAGTCCCACCAGCGAAACTTCTCGATGTATTCTGTAAGTGGCACACAGGCAGAAGGGACGATAAAGGGTCTAAAAGCTTTAAAAAAAAAGTCGCATTCAACCTTTGCCTCTGTTTCTTTGTCTATAAAATAAGGGCTGTGGCTGGTGTGGCTTCTAAGGGCTCTTTCAGCTTTCACATTTCAATATTTCCTCTTCTGGAGGTTCTGGGAGAGGGTTGAGGATTTAGCTCCTCCCCTTCCTTCTGTGCAACTCTGCCAGAAGTAAGAGAGAACGTTCTTTTTGTTTCGGCATATTCAAATAAGCTGGCCAAAAGGATAGTATGGAAGAAACATAGTGGGCCTTCCGTGATTCCCCAAAACCTAAGTCCTTATTTTTAACATACAGCTTTTTGTACTAGCTCCCTAAGTCTCAGATCCTTACAAAGGTAAATATTGTGCTCTCTGTAACTACATTCAGAAAACCAATTCTCTATATCTGTCTGGATTGCCTCCTGGCAGGAAGCAAATGTCAGCTCATTCCTGTGTAATCGATCCGCGGCATCTTAGTTTCGAGGCTTAGCCAAAGTAGTTACTAATAGATTTTAGATGACAGATATGGCATTTTCTTCTCTTGTCCTTCAGTGGGAAAATCAGAAGGACAGAACTGCGATAGTAGGGTTTTGATGTCTTCGTGGTAATGTGAGGGAGGCTGAAAACAATGTTAAGAAAGAAAATATTGGAATATGTATATGTCAATGATGTTTCACTTGTCTTCTTAATGAACACAAATTTATGGAATAAGTCTGGCGGGTACACTAAATTTGTTTGCATTATTGTCAGATTTCATTAAACTTGGGACCAGGTTTAAAAGCACCAGAACAATGCATGGAACACAGTCACTCAACAAATGTTAATACCATTTTTTATAGAGTGTACTTGAAGGGTGATTATTTGTAATCGTCTCAGGAATATCTAGATTATTTACATGACAGCAGCTCACATTAGAAGACTGGAGAGAAATAGATAGTCTTCAATGAACGTTGGCTAGTTTCACACAGTATTTTCTTAGACCTTAGTGTAAGACCTAAGTCTGATGAGGCCTAAGAACCTTGAAGATGAATTATCCTGAAATATCTACAATGAAATATTCAAAACACATGTGGCCCCTGAGGCCTATTTTACCCCCTGTGGTCCTCATTCCTCTAATTTCAAATATAAGGGCGCGAAGATCAATGTCTCCAGGAGGTTTTGGTCTTGAAGTTTTCCTTGTAAACTCTAGAAACATGGGTAACATGGCATAGGTACCAAGTGTTCGCTAGGGTTTCTCAGGGCACCAACTCTCAAGAAGAAATAAAATTTACTACTACATAAGACGGATCTGCCGGCCCCAGTAGTTAAGCACACTTGCTAATAGGTGTTATATTTTCACAAGATCTGCACCAAAAGAGCCTTATTTCTTGATTGATGGCTGAAACTTCTCTCGGTGATTACCAAACAGCTGAGTCTCAGTGTTCATGATGTGGTTAAAGAGACAGTGGAGATGTTCTATTCATTCTCAAGGTGCCTCAAGATGCAAAAAGACAGGAGAGAACATGGGGCCCGGAGATTCTGGGACTTGGGTGCTCATCAATTATGACCAGAGAAAACAAAAGCCTTTTTCGTTTGCGAGATTGCTCTGACGAGGAACGTGCCAGGGTAATGCGAGTCACAGCCTACGCTTTCTTCTATCACCATAGTTACTGATTTACGGAGTTGTCTTAACTCTCTGAAGTATCAATATGGAATGACTTTATTTTTCCATTAACAGCCATGAGCTGTGCTCTATAGAATACCACAACCTCCTTCTCTCCATTGGACGAGCCCTCCTTAATCAGTCCAATTATATAAACCTTCAGTATTTCCAGTTAGTAGAACAATCTCATGCTAAAAATAACCAGTCCTGTTTATTTTCTTTAAAACCTTAAAATTTTTTTACTGAGGTAAGCTTTATGCAGGAAAATGCATTGTATCTTACACGTAAGATTCAATGACTCAACAAGTGTATATACCTGTATGGGTTGCAAAATGAATACACAAAAATCAGTTGTATTTCAGTTTACTAGCAGTTAAAAATCTGCAAATAAAATTAAGAAAACAATTTCAGGGGCATCTGGGTGGCTCAAGCATCTGACTCTTGATTTCAGCTCAGGTCATGATCTCACAGTTCATGAGATCGAGCCCCATGTCAGGCTTTGTGCTGACAGTGCAGAGCCTGCTTGGGATTTCCCCTGCCCCTTCCCTGCTTGTGCGTGTGCTCTCTCTCTCTCTCTCTCTCTCTCTCTCTCTCTCAAAATAAAAATATAAACATTAATAAAGCCCAATTCCATTACAGTCGCATAAGATAAGAATAAAATATATAAGATCACTTTACAAAATAGTGTGAGACTTGTGCCCTAAAAAAAATGATGATACATTGTTGAAAAAATTTGAAGAAGACTAAGTAAGAGGGAAGACATCCCATGTTAATAGATCAAATGGCTTCGTATTGTCAAAATGGCAATATACCACAAATGGATCCATAGATTTAACATTTAACAGTTTTATCAAAATCCCAGCTACCTTTTTTTTTTTTTTTTTTGGCCAGAAATTAACACACTGGTGCTAACATTCATATGGAAATGCAAGGAACTCAGAATAGCCAAAACAATCTTGAAAAAGAATAAAGTTGGAGAACTCACACCTCGCAATTTCAAAACTTACTTTAAAGTTCCAGTAATCAAGATAGTATGAGACTGACATAAGATAGACATAGAGGTTAATGGAATTAAATTCAGAGCCCAGAGATACACCCTTCCATTTATGGTCAATTAATTCTTGAAAATAGTGCCAAGACCATTTAACAGGGAAAGAACAGTCTTTTCAACAAATCGTGTCAGGACAACTGAATATTTGCATTAAAATAAAATAGTTTGACTTCTACTCACTCCACACGCAAACTTAACTCAAAATGTATCATCGTCCTAAATGTAAGAAAGAAAACTCCAGAGTAAGCTTCATTAACTTGGATTAGGTCATGGTTTCTTAGCCATGACACCAGGAGCACAAGCAATAAAAACAAAAACAAAAACAAAATAGAAAAATTGAACTTCATCAAAAGAAAAAACTTCTGTACTTCAAAGGATGCCACCAAAAAAGAAGGGGAAAAAAAGGTAACCCATAGAATGGGAGAAAATATACACAAATCGTATCTTAAAAGGGACTTGTTACATAAAAGACACAAGTCAAAATGAAGATTTGAATAGACATTTTTCCAAAAAGGTGTGCAAATGGCCAATAAGCACATGAAAAGATGTTCAACATCGCCGATGATGAAGGAAATGTAATCAAAATCATAATGAAGTGCATAGCCAAGGAAGCCATCAACAAAATGAAAAGGCAACCTAAGGAATGGGAAAAAATAGATATTCTTCCAAAGAAGACATACGTGTGGCCGACAGGTACATAGGAAGATGCTCAACATCACTAATTATCAGGAAACTGCAAATCAAAACCATAATGAGATCCCATCATAACTGTTAGAATGGTTATTGTCAAAAAAGCAAAACATAGCAAGGGTTGGCAAGGCTGTGGAGAAAAGGGAGCCCTTGTGCACTGTTGGTGGGGATGGAGACTGGTACAGCCACTATGGAAAAGAGTATGGAGGTTCTTCAAAAGATTAAAACTAGAACTACCATACGATCCAGCAATTCCACTTCTGGGAGTTAATCCGGATACAACAAAACACTAACTCGAAAAGATATCTGCACCCTCAGGTTCACTACAGCATTATTTACGATAGACAAGATATGCAAACAACCTAAGTGTCCAACAATAGATGAATACATCAAGAAAATGTGGTACATATATACAGTGGAAAATTACTCAGCCATAAAAAAGAAGGAAATACTGCTATTCACGACAGGCAACATGAATGGACCTGAGGGCATTATGTTAAGTGAAATAAGTCAGGAAGAAAAAAACAAATGCCGTATGATCTCTCTTATTTGTGGAATAATCAATCAATCAATCAGTCAGTCAATCAAACCAAACCCATAGAT